TAATATAATCAGCAATATCAGATTCAGTTGAAAACCTTTGCCTATTATGAACCATTTCTTCAACAACATCAAAATCATCAGCAGTTACCCCAAGATGCTTAACCTGTTCATAATCTTCAGCGGTTAGCTTCCTGATACCCTTTTTTTTTTCAGCTTCAGCATCTGCTTCAGCTTGTTGTACTGGTGCTGGTTGGGTTGCAGGATTTGCAGGGGCTGCTTGAGGCTTCGCCACTGGTGCATTCACATCATTTAATAACCTAGCACCAGCCCCGTTTGGTAATGGTGGTAAATCATCCATTGCCCTTAATTCATCAATGGTTAAATAAAGAAGCTTGTTCTTATCAATTTCCTGCTTGAATGTTTCCTTATCCTTGAATTCCAATTTTCCTTGAAGGGGTGCAAACTGGCTGAATAACTGCATCAATGCTGATTCAATCTGTGAACGCTTAACAGCAATATAGTTATCCTTAAAAGCCTTGTAATTGTTAGCCATTTCTTGGTTGTTACCAATCGCACCCGGCTGTTTTCATATTGAATAATGAAGGTGGTGCTTCATGGCCTTCAAGAATAGTATCCTTTACATTCTTTGCAATCTCAGTATAAGCCTTATCCCAATCACCAGCGCTAAGGGGCTTCACTTCAGCACCCTTACCATCCTTATTTTGGAAGTCAACCATTATCTTACCACCGTTTTGCCCTGAATAGTTTTTCTTTATCTCAGCTATCATCTGTCTTTTAACATCTTCAGCAACATTAGAACCATTGAAAAAGGTAATGATTGTGCTAAGGCTAAAATGATTGGTGATATTGTTCAGGTTGAATTCCTGAATTGCAATATCTGTTGTGATTGGCCTTAGAATATTTTTATATTCAGGGGTTGGGTAAACATTATTTTCTGATGGAAAATAACCATCATAAAAGAAAACCTTGCTGTTGCTATCCTGATTATTCTTTGGATTATATCTTTCAAAAGTGTTCTGGAATTTATAATAACGCCAATCCTTAGAATAAAAGAATAAATCCTTTTGTGAATTCATTCTAAACTTATGCAAAGGAACATGGTGATATTCTATTGGTTCATTGGCAACATTGAAGATAGTTTCAATGGTAAAAGCACCAAATAATATATAATCCAATACCACCTTACTTACAAACTCAGATATTGTTTCTGATGGATTAACCATAATATCAACATCCTTACCATCTAATTTTAAACCATTACCAACAATATAGTTAGCCTTCTGATTGACAATTGCCCCGTGTGTTGGGCTATCCCTGTATAAGTGTAAAAGGAAGTTTGGATAAAGATTAGTATACCCATTGAAGCCATCAGCATTAAAGCCGAATTGCGGATTGTTGTAATAATCACCAACACCACCCCAAGTAACAAAGGTTTTTTCTGAAGTGTTCCTAGATTCAGTTGGTAAGGGAATATTAGCATTGCTAAAATCAAAAGCCATTATATTTTTTTCGTTTTCCATAGGTATTTTTTACGGCTGATATACAATAAAATCATTGTCACCATCAGCAGGTGTTATATAGTTATCAGCAACTTCCTGTTCAGCTGTTGCCACCTTCCCTACCACTTTCAATAATCCAGTTTCAGTTGTTGCACTGGTTGAATCCTTTATACTGAACTGATAAGTCCCAATACTTAAACCGCTGAAGGTTGATGTTGGTAATATGAATTCATTATATCTGGCTGGATAAGGACTTGAATCAACAGGTAATATAAACTGGGTATGAACATTAGTAAATGGATTCACTAAATTCAAAGTGCTACCTGAAGTCACTGCATCAATTTCAGTAACTGTTGCAAGTATTCGGGTATTGCTAAGGCTATCATCCACTAGTATTGTCATGGTTTTTCAGTGTTGTTTGTATACTTTATAAGTATGTGGTTGGTATCATATCAATACCCTTTCACCCCTATACCAACAAAAAACCCCGTCTTGGAAGACAGGGCTTATTGTACTATGAAAGAAATCTTTAGATTAAAGAAGAAATTATACTTGTATTTACAATTGGTGCTGGTGTTTTGCTGATACCTTCAAAGGTTAGTGTATAACCAATTGCATCATTTTCAGCAGTACCAGTACCACCTTCAATACTTTTTGCAATCAATTGGCCGTTAAGACCGATAGCAAACCATTTTTCAGTTCTTGTTTTATACAACATAGCTACAGGTTGCCCCTTAACTGATTGAACAAACTGATAATTTTCTGGTGTTAAGTCACCCAATACCAAAGTAAAAGACTGAGTAAAGAAGTTAAGACCTTTAGAAGGGTCAATTGTTGCAGTATCCTTTAAACCAGCTGTTGATTTTAAAAGTTCCACTTCAACGAATTTTTTACCGGCATCCAAGTAAATTGCTTGAGTAGTACCGCTAGTATCCGCGCTGTATGTTTTTTGAGTTACAGTTGATGCACTAAGGTCATTGAATGCGACAATGTAGAATTTTTCCACACCACCAACAATACCTTCAGCACAACCCCTAAGCAACGCTATAATTGAATCACATGCCATTTTATTAATGTTTTATTTGTAAAAAAGGTGGTGATTAACCACCCTTTTAATATTATTATTTTAAGCAGTAATTAAACTGTTGCAAATACAAATTGATTTGCGAAGATTACAGCAACACCCAAAGCATAATGGAA